TGTTTGTGGTACCTGCTAATTTGTATTGATTTTTTAATTATTACTTCAATTAAAAATTTTCTACCCCGACGCCTACCCCCTTCTCAAAAATTCTCTCCAAATAGCGAAAAGACAAACTCCGGGAACACATGCAAAGAATGCACAACCCTGAGAGGGAGGCCAAGAAAGCCGACCGCATCAGCCGCTCTAAGACGTTCAAGCCTCGCATCACGTCCACGGACTACGACAGCTTCACGTTCAAGTGCCGCCTGTGCATGATGGGCTTCCGGCGACGCGGCATGCTGGTCAGTGCCGAGCGGCCGCAGATTCCTCCGTCTGCCGAAGCCACCTCGTTTCTGTAGACGATGCCTTCTGTATTGTATTCTGTACTAAGTTATATTTGGCAACAGATTTTATCAATGGCTAGGGGAAGAAACAGAGACACACAGTCCCCAATTTAGACTTCTCTTTCCACTCTCCCTTTGTCCTCCCTTGCCACTCTCCGGTGACTTCTTGGAAGAGGTCTTTTTCTACCACTTTTATTACTAGTTTTATTTTTCTTTATGTTTTTCCACCTCTTTGCTCTTGTCTTATTTTATTTCCCTCTTCTCTTTGTGTTCCCGAATATATTTTCTGGTGGGGTCTTTGCCTTCTCCCCCACTGTTCCCTTTCCATGCCTCCCTTTTCCAGATAGTGAACATAACAGAAGGAAGCTTTCCATCAAAGCAGGTGTCTGGACCCAGTTTAGCTGAAACATCAGATGGGACAGCCAGTTCTCTGCTCTCAAGTCGTTTAGACTTTATTACAATTGCAGAATCTATTTTTGCCAGGAGCTAAAAAGTCATAGGGCAATATTTAAAATTTAGAACCTTAGTTTGTATCTCATTCAATGTTCTTAGTATGGCTCGGGCATTAAATAATGAAAGATTGGTTTGCATCAGGAGAATCCACCAAAGAAATTCATGCTAGTGTAATTTTCCTTTTTCCAGCAGCTGTTCTTTCAGCCAGACTGTCGATGGGGTTCACAGTGACCCAATTCACCTTTAACTCTTTGCTGAATTACCGTTAACTCCCGTTCCCAGTGACTGTGAATCCTTCAGCAGTAGGTCTGGTGGTGCTGGTTCTGGCCAAGTGCCTCATTGTTTCGGGATGTTGCTTCAGAGAAGTCCAGCTTTTGGCAGTCATTATCAGAGGCATTTGTTAGCTTCTCTTTATAACAGGGTCTCTTTTTCTCATTTGTTCTTTGTTTTCACTTTAGGTAAATCACCTATCAAAGAGGCACCCAGACATGAAGATAGAAGAGGTCCCGGAGTTAACTCTACCCATCATAAAACCCAACCGTGATTACTTTTGTCAGTATTGTGACAAGGTAAAAGGAAAATGTCTATACTGGTATGCCACTGTGGGAGCCCTCCTTACAGGAAATTTGTCTGCATTTGTAAATAGATACTAGAATCTTGCAGTTACTCTTAGCAGCTGGTTCCCTGTCTCTCAGTTGTTGTCCATTCAGATAAGAAAGGACAAGAAATGCAGCCTCATTTTAAGTCAGTCTTTTTTTCTTAAGAATTAGTTGACTTCGTTTTTCTTATTGTCCCTGCTCTCTGTGATTTTTGTTCCACAAGAAAAGACTTGTTACCAAATGCTTAGTATATGAATTGATTTCAAATCCCTAAGCTCTAAAATGAGAGTATGTATCATATTACTTGTTAAATGT